CACAGTCTTTTTCAGATGACAGGCTTTTAAATTATTAATTAAACATCTTTTTTTCATTTTCAAAATCCTTTTATTACACCAAACAGCCAGGACAGTTTATAAAGTTAAACAACCTCCATGCTGCCACCTTCGTATCGGCTGAGAACCGACCAGAAATGTCGGAGTTACCTATGATAGAGCTGGTCATTCACCGCGGCACAGCGTACGGTAGAGGTGTCCATGTTATAAAAGATGATTTCGATGGAATCAAAACACTGAAAGAAAGACTTGAGAAGGTCACAGCAGAGGTCAGGAGAAGAGGAAATTCTGAAACTTCAGAACATTCCAATTCTGCTGCCAGGAAAGTTACAGAAGTGGTGGATAATTCAGGGAACTGTAGGAGTCTTAATGCCAACCATGACATATCAACCAGTCAGCCAGCAATAAACTTATCTTCTGACAATGCACAGGAAATGACAATGGAGGTATCATGTGACCGTATAAACCAATCACAACCCCACAAGAGTTTCACCCACCAATCAAATTCGCAGCAGTCACAGAATTGGGCTAGATGCATGATGCAGACATCTACAGGTTTGTTCAGGAAATGCAGAACTAAGCACATCACTGAATTTACAAAAGCTCTGGGAATGTTCATGTTTATTGTTTTTTTTAAGCAAAATTAGTCAGGCAAATGCACCAGTATTGTTTTCTATGTGTATAACTGCTTTTTCTGCCTTTCAGTTGTTCTGAATCATCCTCATATCCAGTGTACAAATATTAAGGATGTACTGTCACACAGCGTGCCTTATAAATTCCGAATTCTGGCAAGAGTGGTAGACTTCTTCCCAAGATTTAACAGACCAGAGGACATCTGTAAACTGTACTGCCCAGAGTGTAACTACTTGTAAGACTTTATTATTTATGTTTTCAATGACTCTACTCAAATGCAATCTAAATTTACATTTTCAACCCAAATGAAAAGTTAATTTTTGTCTTAAAATATTATTGTCAATTAAAAAAAAAATCAGGGAGGGTGAAATAAAAGTGCCATGAATATTTATGTACACATGTCAGTGTACACTCATATTTAGATGAAAACAGAACATAATGTATCTAAAACAATACAAAATTCACCTATATTTTATATAAGTATAGGCTTTTTGTCCATTTTGAGAAGAATATTACAGTGAAAAAGATCTAAAATAAGGTCTGATGGGAAGTAATAAAGCTAATTTTTTGGAAGTTTAAGGTGTCTATTAGTCTGTAATTTTGTGTCAATGAAAAACAATGATCCAAAGCCCCCTAGAGGCTAGTGCTCATTAACATTTTATCACTGTTGATTGTTGAAATAAAACATTTGAGCCGTGGTTCTTCACTATTCAATACATTCGTGTTGTTATGTTCAGTAAATGTTGCATGTTTTGGTATTGTATTCCTTCATTTATTTTTTTTACAGGTGTGATGTCCCTTTAGAAGAAAATGGGTATGTTTAAAAAAAATAATAGCATTTTTGTGAGTTGTATTCTTATTCTTTCTCTTATATCTATAATTTATATTGTTACACTGCCAGAGTAAATTAACCTGAGAGGACTGATAATGTTGCAATTACTGTTATTTTCATCAATTTTTAGGAAAACTAGCTTGAAAATTAGCAGAAGAGGAAGACAATTAAAGCATTACTTATGTCCTGTATGTAGTAAAGGTAAGACTTATTTTAGATGTAAAATACAGAAACACACTTTTAATATACTGACTCTGTTGGAGTGGGGGTGTAATGTTTTACCCATGCGTGTTGATGTTGGTCTGTTTGTCTGTCCATAACAAATTCTTGACACAGTTTTCAGGGCAACTGCTTGAAAGTTTTAATACACTTTTTGTTTAGGCATGCTATATGGTGGGATTCATTTTTATGTGGATCAAAAGTCAATATCCCATTTATCCCTGTGTCTGTCTGTAAACTTGTGTATATTCACATGAAAGCATATTTTCTGTAGAACAGAGGTATTGCTAGTGAACATTGCCTCACAGACTTTTTGTTTCCCACAAGGTAAAAATTCCATGGAACACAATTTGTGTTCAAACTGCAAATGGAACATTTCATGGAATTCTTGGAATGCATTATGTCTTAGGTTATTTAAAGTATGTTTAATTTCTTTGAAAATATTGTGATCATGCATCAAAATAGTGTTAAATATTCCCATGCAGAAAAAACTGTCTGCAGTATTAAACACATTCATTCACCATTGTGATGATATGATTCAGATTTTGCATGAAATAAAATATAAATAATAATAATAATGTTCATACTTTCTACATTGAAGAATTTATATACTTCAGATTCCCAGTTTGAGTCAGAGTATATTGTTATTTTTTCCAGATTCCCAGTTTGAGTTTGTACTAATATAATTTGCTCCTGGCTTGAGACTGAACCCAGCATATCTAGTCTAAGGCATATGAATGAATAATTATTGCTGGTCTACTCTAAGGTTTATGAAGCCATGTCTCTACAGCTTGGTTTTGCTTTGAGCCTTTAACAGCTCACCCTGAGACAAAATAATAAATCAGAAATTCTGACTTTAAAGTTGTATTTTTTATAGTCATTGACCAGGTGTATATCATTATGTATTTCAGATTCCCAGTTTGAGTTGGAGTATATCTTTATGATGAGATTCTTGCTAAGAGATAAAACAGGAGAGATAGTGGTCAACCTATGGAGAAAAGATGCAGTAAGCTGTGTTTTGTTTGTTTTATACCCTCTCAAAGCATTATAAATCCCAGCAGTAGATTTTTACCTTGTCCAGTGAAAACTGGTGTTAAAAAATCAACAATTCATGAATAGATCATATTCAATAAACATCCTAGAAAAACTAGCAAAATCACACAAGACATTTAGTTTGGCCTTGTGGCTAGACAGATTTTTTTTATCTGCATATTTGGCTGTCTCCTACTTGACTTGTAACACTAATCAGAAAACAAACAACAATTCTTATGATTTATTTTTTTAAAGCAATCAACAGATTGATACTCTTCGCCTTATGAATTCTGAAATAAGCATTTTTAAATGCTTTTGGAGATTGAATATGGCAGCTAACACTATGCTAATGTGATTTACAACCAAAAGATGCACATAACTAGAACTGTCCAAACGGGACAAAATACCCCCCACTGGGTTTTTCAGAAGAAAGTTTTTCCATAATAAAGATATGTATCAAATACAAATTATGAAATTTTTCTTCCAGTGACCTTGACCTTCCCCAGATGACCTTGGGTCAAGGTCATGACACACCCTTGGGTCATGGACAATCTTTGAGTGAAATGAGAACCTACCAAGTTTATCCATAAGAAAGATATGGACCGGACTTGAATTATGAAATTTTTCTTCCAGTGACCTTGAACTTCCCCAAATGACCTTGGGTCAAGGTCATGACACACCCTTGGGTCATGGGCAATCTTTGTGTAAAATGAGAATCTACCAAATTTATCCATAAGAAAGATATGGACCGGACTTGAATTATGAATTTTTTCTTCCAGTGACCTTGAACTTTCCCAAATGACCGTGGGTCAAGGTCATGACACACCCTTGGGTCATAGGCAATCTTTGTGTGAAATGACAACCTACCAAGTTTATCCATATGTAAGATATGGACTGGACACAAATTAGGAAATTTTTCTTCCAGTGACCTTAAACTTCCCCAAATGACCTTGGGTCAAGGTCTTGACACACCCTTGGGTCATGGGCAATCTTTCAGTGGAATGAGAACCTACCAAGTTTATCCATAAAAGATACGTATCAAACATGAATTATGAATTTTTTCTTCCAGTGACCTTGAACTTCCCCAAATGACCGTGGGTCAAGGTCATGACACACCCTTGGGTCATGGGCAATCTTTGTATGAAATTAGAACCTACCAAGTTTATCCATAAGAAAGATATTGACCGGACACGAATTATGAAATTTTTCTTCCAGTGACCTTGAACTTCCCCAAATGACCTTGGGTCAAGGTCATGACACACCCTTGGGTCATGGGCAATCTTTGTGTAAAATGAGAATCTACCAAGTTTATCCATAAGAAAGATATGGACCGGACTTGAATTATGAATTTTTTCTTCCAGTGACCTTGGGTTAAGGTCATGACACACCCTTGGGTCATAGGCAATCTTTGTGTAAAATGACAACCTACCAAGTTTATCCATATGTAAGATATGGACCGGACACAAATTAGGAAATTTTTCTTCCAGTGACCTTAAACTTCCCCAAATGACCTTGGGTCAAGGTCATGACACACCCTTGGGTCATGGGCAATCTTTCAGTGGAATGAGAACCTACCAAGTTTATCCATAAAAGATACGTATCAAACATGAATTATGAATTTTTTCTTCCAGTGACCTTGAACTTCCCCAAATGACCTTGGGTCAAGGTCATGACACACCCTTGGGTCATGGGCAATCTTTGTATGAAATTAGAACCTACCAAGTTTATCCATAAGAAAGATATGGACCGGACACGAATTATGAAATTTTTCTTCCAGTGACCTTGAACTTCCCCAAATGACCTTGGGTCAAGGTCATGACACACCCTTGGGTCATGGGCAATCTTTGTGTAAAAGGAGAATCTACCAAGTTTATCCATAAGAAAGATATGGACCGGACTTGAATTATGAATTTTTTCTTCCAGTGACCTTGAACTTTCCCAAATGACCGTGGGTCAAGGTCATGACACACCCTTGGGTCATAGGCAATCTTTGTGTGAAATGACAACCTACCAAATTTATCCATATGTAAGATATGGACCGGACACAAATTAGGAAATTTTTCTTCCAGTGACCTTAAACTTCCCCAAATGACCTTGGGTCAAGGTCATGACACACCCTTGGGTCATGGGCAATCTTTCAGTGGAATGAGAACCTACCAAGTTTATCCATAAAAGATACGTATCAAACATGAATTATGAAATTTTTCTTCCAGTGACCTTGAACTTCCCCAAATGACCTTGGGTCAAGGTCATGACACACCCTTGGGTCATGGGCAATCTTTGTATGAAATTAGAACCTACCAAGTTTATCCATAAGAAAGATATGGACCGGACACGAATTATGAAATTTTTCTTCCAGTGACCTTGAACTTCCCCAAATGACCGTGGGTCAAGGTCTTGAAACACCCTTAGGTCATGAGCAATCTTAGTGTGGAGTCGTAGATTCTAATGTCCCTCTGTAAGAAAGATATGGACCGGACACGATTGCACAGACAGACAGACGGACAAGGTGATTCCTATATACCCCCCCAAACTTCGTTTGCGGGGGGTATAAAGTGATTTTCAGTAAAATTACATCAGAAGCAGCAAACAATGATTAATTATAAAAATGAACTGATACCCCACCATTGTCTTTAACTTTGACCTTGATGATTTTAACGATTTTTTTTTCCTGACATACTTAGCAACAAAAATCCAACCTTATGTTATATTAAACTGCCACTTTAGCAATCATCAGGAACTCCAAATATTCCACACCAAAAGTAATTGTGGTATCCTATCTTGGAATACTGTAAAATCATCATTGTTTGTGGGGGACCAATGCAGTGCCTGGGAAGGACAAGTAACTGATAGGGCCAATGGCCCCCCTCTTCATAAAATGATGGGGCCATTTTGAAACTTATGGGGCCGAAAGAGAATACAATGGGCCATTTTTAAAATTGTCATATTATGAACTTATTCTGTTAGTGCTATGATTTTTCATACATCTCAGACAATAAAATTTATGCAATTAAAACAAAACAAAAAAAATTATTGGATTGCTTTACGTGGAAGTGAAAGCTTCATTTTCTTTGCCCAGGGTTTCAGATTGAAATAAGTAATTACAGGACATCTGGCATATTTACCAGAAAAGTTATAGGCCATTCTGTCCTAAACTTCCTAAAATTATAGGCAAATAGAAAAGTTAAACAAGCTCAGATTTCTGTCCGACTTTTACAAAATAGTCATTTAATTACATAAAATATACAAATATGTATATTAATTTTTCTTTTAATAAGGTGGAAATATTATTTTTTTTCTTTTAAAAAAAAATCAATATTTTGAAACAGAATGGGATTTTTTTTAAATTTCATTCAATGGGTATTTTACTTATATTAGTCCCACCTTTCATTAAATGGACATGTATTTATTTCTTGGGATTACAAGTTTTAAAAATAGTAACCCAGAAATAAGACTTGTATCTCTCTTTATATGTATAATTACGTTTACAGATTACCTAGACTATTTTGTTTCCCTTAGTAAAACCTTGCAACATTGTACGTTTCCTGCTATTAGTCTGACCCCATATTCAATCATGGCGGTAAAAATATCAACATGGCATGGATTCCTTTGATGTTTTAAACATTAATCATTACTTTTATGCTCCGTACGTTTGGGTTTGGAAATAAAATTATAGAGTATTTTGTCAAGATCTATTTATACCCAAATATCACTGGATAATTGAATCGGCAGTTTCAGAAAGTAGAGAAAATCGGATCTGAATTGGGGAAAAATTATACGACTGGTCTTTACATAGAGAAGTTAATCGTTTTTGGGGATGCGCCTCATGGCGCAGCGCACCATTATTACATTGCGCCATTTTTCGGCAGTATGCGCATATGGCGCATGGCGCGGCCCCTTCCCAGGCCCTGCCAATGTTCATGAATTTTGTGGGTCACCCTTATCAAGGAATTTACATCCCTACGAACATTAATTAGCTCACCTGAGCCGAAGGCTCAAGTGAGCTTTTCGGGTCACATTTTGTCTGTTATCCGTCCGTTTGTAAACTTCTCACATTTTCTACTTCTTCTTAATAATAACTCGGCCAAACTTGGTACAAAGCATCTTTGGGCGAAGGGGAATATAAATTTTTAAAATGAAGGGCCAGGTCTTCTCACAAGGGGAGATAATCAAGAAAAGACAAAAATAGGGTGGGGACATTGAAAAATCTTCTTCTCAAGAACCACTTGGCCAGAAAAGCTGAAACATATGTGGAAGCATCCTGGGGTAGTGTAAATTCTGAATTGTCCTAATTTTAACCGGTGGGGTATGATGGGGTCACAATAGGTATTACAAGAGGGAAATCTGGTGAAGAATAGCATGGTCAAAGCTTCTCAGGTGCCTCTTGTTTTGTTAACATATTGATTCATTGAACCTTTGTATTTAAGAGTGACCTACAAAATTATATCCCCATGAACAGGTCAAATTTTGCCTACCAACGAACATTGACCCCCACAAATTTAAATGGTTCCACAGTAGTGCAAAGATTTCCAGCTTAATATCTATTATCACCTTTTATTCACGAGAAATTTTAAATATTTGAATGTTAATACTCAGGATGTTCTCTCAAAAATGTCATTCCCAAGTATATTTTTATTAGCATATAGGTATATCAGGCAACAACTATCATTCATATAAAACCTGCCGTGTTCAAATACATGTATATACATGTACCAAACACCTATCTCAAGAAAAATGAAATGTTGCAAAAATTTGATTAACTACAGCAGTTATTCTCTTTTTTTGTTACAGGTGACTTTTTTCCAGGATATAACTCCAGTGGAAATGTTGACAGAATCCGCTTTGTGTACTGTGATAGAAAACTGTCTAAATGTTATCTGTGATCCTGACAAGAGTGACTGCCCTTGGTTTGAATGTTGTGTAAAATCCTACAATATCCAGATGGGAGTTCGTTATCAGATCTTTGACACCTGTTTAGCATGACATTGTTATCAAAGATAAATATTAAAATGGTGCTTCTTTTGTTATTGTCATAAATAATTAAAATGTAGTTCATGTATGTGTACTATCTTTTAAAGAATGCCAAAGAATTGGTTAGGGGTTGATTAATTGATTATTAAAGTTACAGGGAATGAGATCTTGAATTTTTTTTTCAAAAGATGACAATGAATGCAGGATTCTGAAGGATATCAGAATGAGAAACAGAAAAGCACTAAAAATAAAACTCATAAAAGTAGTCATTATTGTTAAACGTCATCCAAAAAACACTTACACACACATACACACACACACACACACACACACACACACACCTACACACACACACACACACACACACAACTTCAATATTTCACTTTATAACCCCAATGTCACTGTTGTAGCAATCAAGTCAGGTCAAATATAGCAAATTGATGTAACCATGGAATAAAGAAATTGTTACAGTTCACCTCGGTGCTTCTCTCTAGCTTGCTGCAAAAATTTTTAATTGTTAAAAGCAAAAACTTGAATAAAGGACGTTATAAACAAGTTTAGAAGCATAGTTTAAATGCTGCAGATAACCTACACAGCAAATGAAAGCAAAGGATAAAAGTTCAAGCAGCTTATTCTTAACGACGTTCGATCCTGATATTTTAAAGTCTTAAACTTTTTTTGCCAAGTATATTTTTAGTTTCTACATACATAGCTTAATTAAAATTCAAATCAAAAAATGGGGGTCAATACACTTCTTTTAACGCTAAGTACATTTAATATGACCTTTTTGCACTGAAATTTGTGTCTTAATCAAAAATTAACTTTTTTTACTTTTCCCCCTCCAATATTTTTATCCAATTAAAGCATGAAACAAAATGAACTCTAAGTTTGTTTTAAAAAGACACTTAAAAATTGTGACTCAGAAAAAGTTTCAAATTGCTTCGCATAATCAATTATTTGGCCTTTCTGCACTAATAAAAGGTGATTTTTCTGGCATTGAAAATTTAACAAGCTAGAAAATTATTTTAAAGTCTTAAACTTTTTCTAATTATAAGCAAATAGGTCAAATTTATCTTGAATAAATAGAAAAAGGACATCAAAAGTTGGGGTATATGATGTAAATTTTTAGATATTACTAAAAAGTGTCAATTTTACGTTAAAATTGGCTCAATTTTTTCCCGGATTTTCAGAATATATATACTACATTTGTCACACTTTGTTGATAAAATTCATAAGAAATAATTTAATAGATATTTCCGAACCAGCATAACACATTTCACTGCAAAAAACAGCTTTATGTGCAACCAGGATGGAAAAATAGGAATCCAAAATTAACAGTACTGTTATAGTTCAAAATGGAAAAACTTATCATTATCGTCTTAAAAAACCTTCCCTCACAGAATAATGTCCCTAGCTTAATTTTACTTGAATGGAATTTAATCACGGTTTTTTCATTGAATATAGCTAAATTTGCACTGTAGAATTCAGATTAAGTATTAGACCTTAAAAATGATGTAGAATTTTATAAATAAAGAACCTGACCAAAATACGCTCAAAATCTCAGGATCGAACGCCCTTACGCATTTCTCTTTCAAATAAATGATGTCTTAATCATGTATATTTGATCCTGCAATGCACATGGATTTGTCATAGGCCATGTGCGTCTCAAAGACTATTGAAAAGATAACCTTTCCCAAACCACAATTTTATAGATCAGTTGATTATTCTTGACTGAAACCCCCAATTTCTCTTTACCATTCATGGGGTTGGCTTGTGGTTACATATATATATGTATATATGGTTATATATCTATAAAAAGCACAAAAAACCCAACAACACTGTATATCCTAAGTGTCGGATCTACAAAGTAGATACAAGGTCGCGGATGGAAATTTATATAAAGCACTAAAAATGACCAACGACACGAACAATTAAAAAAAAAAAAAAATATATATATATATATATATATATATATATATATATATATATATATATATATATATATATATATATATATATATATATATATATATATATATATATATATATATATATATATATATATATATAATATATCTGTGTGTGTGTGTACCTTCAAACGTTTCCTATTAACTTTTGCACTTGCTTCAATGCTTCCAAAACAGATAAAATCTCATTGGCAAAACAAGTATTATGAGTTGCCTAATCAATGTATATTTTGACTCCATGCTCATCAAAAAACATTTTTTACAAACCCCTAAACGAAGTATTTAAAAAAATTATCAATTATAACTAATATCAGCTAGAAACTGCATTGTTGTAGCCACTTGAAATATGGCCACTATTGAAAAAAATATTTCAACAGTGGTTGAGAGTGCATTTCAATAACAAACATAGGTTGCAATCACTATTGAAATACGACCACTATTGAAATAATTATTTCAACAGTGATTGAGAGTGCATTTGAATAAGAAACATGGGCTGCAACCACTATTGAAATAATGTTCACTTTTGAAATACATGTAATAAAGTTTTCAATAGTATCTATTTATCAATCATTAACATACAATGTACATTAAATTATCAATATGACATGGTCCACTTTGAGAGACATTTTATTCTTTTTAATAAATCATTTCAGATGCCCTCCTTCAAGTCTATGTATTGTAATGTACTTATTTATTGCACAAAAAGGTTTTACCTTCATTCTTCATTTTGAGACGGGTAAAAAGGATTCCTAATTGTTCAAACAAAGAGCAAAGTCCACTTCCAGGGTGAGATAATAAAAAAGTCAAATATGGGGAGGCCGGGTCAATAAAACGGAATAAAGCACCACTGGAATGGAAACGATAAACTTATTGAAAACTTCCTGCATGAGGCAGTGAAGTCTCTAATTTAGCCAAATCTTAAGTGATACAGTGAGAAAGGAACCGCAAAAAGGGGTGATTGTTTTCCCATTGAAATATATAAAAAATATTTTTTAAAAAAACCGTAGGCCAGAAATGTCAAAGTCTTGTGAAAACTTCCTAAAGGAATGCACATTTTAGATGAGCATTTGCATTATTTTTTGAACGACTCTGGTTTTTGATTTTTCTAATATATTCTAATGTGAAAATTGATTCCTTGTTGCTCTTTATTATATACTCCATAGGGTTACAATTTGAACATTTTAAAATGTTACCTGTTACCCTTTACATATGCTTTAGGTCTTTTTATCTGTGTCTAGAAAAACTCGGCACATACATCTTTAAGGATATGCCCCAAAGACAATGACGAACGTCATTTCCCATTGCATATCTGATGAACAATATTCAAAAATTACCCTGGGGACCGGTCTTGTAGAGTAGACTTCCCCCCTAAAATCTTCCCCCCGGAATACTGGCTCTAGATTAGGATTTCCCCCCGTAAAACTAGCTCTAGTGTAGGATTTTCTCTACGGAAAACTGGCTCTAGAGCAGGATTTCCCCAACGGAACAATCACACTAGAGTCAGTTTTCTGGGTGGAAATCCTACTATGTGTAGTAGTTATTGAGTGTGATTTCCCCCAGAGTCAATTTCCCCCCAATAAAATATAATTGCTATACTTTTGTTTTGAAGGGGAGAGGGACAGTACATTGTAACAAGTGTCCCTTCTATATAATGGTGACCAGATGTCTTAAACATGTGTATGTGAAGAATAAAAATAAAAATGTTAAATCTGATTTAAACCAGCAACTGTACATATATCAAATCATTTATTTTTTAAATCAAATAAAGGTTTATTCTGCGTGTGGCTTATCTAGCTGTCCCTCCGTCTGTCCCAAGTGGTTTCCCGCACTTTTTTTTCTGTGTGAAGATATTGAGCTGATTTTTGATATTCACTGTAGGAAAGCGGCTGACCGCAGTATATACTACGGTCATCAAAACATGTCGGCTGAGGTCACCGGTTAGAATTTTTTAGTCAAGATTTTAAACATTTGCCAGGTTATCTGTGTTAATTCTTGCCAAATTTAAATGTACGCTAATGAGAACTTGCTATTGGTTATTATAACTTACTTGAATTTAAAGAAATAAAGCTGTAGTACGACCTCAAAGTTTTTGACAATGATGACCGTAATAACCACACAGATGACGACAATAATATAATTATAGAGATGACCGTAGTATATGTACAAAATCAATTGAGACGAAAATATTTTATTCAATATCAGTGCTATAGATGTTCAATACAGATTACATTATACAAGATCTATATACTAATTAGTATTGAGGTCATAAAAAAGAACTGAAACGTTTTAAATATGATTGATTTAATACTAATTGATAAGAGAAGCCACGGTTGATTTAGAATGTTAAAGTATTTATGAAAAAATCTTTTAAAAAAGTAATACTTGTCATGGACCTTATTCTATTTTTTTCCCTTATTTTTTTTTTTTTATACATTATTCATATTAAAATAATTATTAATAATTGCGACTATCAGGTTTATTTTGCATTCTTCAGGAATAATATTTATATTGCGACCATCACTACATTGTAAGTTATATTCCTCCTCTGAAAAAAAGACAAACCTCGCCCTTCAAACAGTTTTGCAAGTGTTACCCGAAATAACAGTGACTCATTGCCATATCTCGTGTTATGAGCCGTCCTTTTCTATAGAACTGGCCGATATCAAGCAACAAGTGGAATGCAATGTTGCCATGTTCTGATGTTTTTCATTAATGCACAAAAGTCGTCCAAACGACCAATTTCTTCCATTTTCTCTGATAACATTTGAAAGAACACTGTAAATTTCAGTGCTTTCTGTGTTAGTCTCAGCATCTTGTCCACACTCACAATGCTGCTGAAGTTTACATTCATAAACTTTAATTTTTTTACTCTCAACATTTATACACACTGTATATCCATTACTGTTTTTTATTTCTTTAAGCTGAGATAAGTACGTAAGTATATAAGGAAAGTTTTCCCAGTTTCTGCATTAAGTTCTAATTTACGTATGCTGATTTTTTTTCGCTTCCAAATGGTGAAATATGCTATGTACACTCAATCAAACTTCTAAGTGTTCACCTTACATTTTTGAAGTTTTAAAGAATAAATGCAAACAATAAATGATTTCTTTAA